CGAGTATATTTGATGAATAGTTTATATTACGAGAATAAACTCGTAAATGTACGAGTCCTTGCCGACAGCTCTGCAGGCTCCGACATACCCGGTGCAGCTCTTCGATCTATCTGCCGATCGTCAATTAAAGTAAATTACTAAAGTAATTACTACAGGTTTATTCGAAGCTTTCCTTAAATCCATCGGGGAAACTAAACAGTAGGCCTATAAAACATGACAATCATTAAACAATGTAAGAAAACATAAATAATAACATGCACAGCATGTGATTAATGTACCCGCAGAGCCAGCCCGCAGTCTTAGATCCTCAGGTAGGGGCCTCCTCGTTGTTCCAAATCGAGACTAAAACTAAAGGTGACCGGGCCATTTCCGCAAGGGCCCCTCGACTTTAGAACGACCTCCTGAGGAGATAAGACTCGCAGATTCCCTCAATTCTCTTAAATCCTTGCTTAAAACTTAGGCTAGCCTACTTTTAATTTTTTATTAATATTATTTTTATTTTTGATAATTTATTCACTTGTTTCTATTTCTTTTACTGCTCTTACCTTCTTATTGCTGTCATCTTTTTATTTGCTTTTAGCTCTTTTAGTTTCTTACATCTTTAAATCTTTAGTCCTTATGGTCTCAGCTCGTGTTGTTGGGTTCTTGTGATGGTTGGGTTATATATGTCTGTTGGGTATGGTGCAATATGGGTCCTTTTCTGTTGAATTGTATAGAATTATTTTTTGTATTTTGTATTTGTTATGTTCTTGCTGTTGTTTATGTTCTTCTGTGTCTGGTTTAGTTTGCTTTGTTGTTTTTGCTGTTTGTCAAAGCGCTTTGTAAACCTGTGTTTTTAAAAGGTGCTATTTTACGACAGAGGATTAGGGCCACGTTAAAAAAAAATACATTTTGAGATTAAAATCGTAAATTTACAAGTTTAAAGTTGTAAATTTACAACTTTAATCTCGAAATTAAAAAACAAACAAAAAAATCAACGTGGCCCTAATCCTCCGTTGTACTATCTAAATAAAGTTATTATTATTATATCGTATTACCTCGTTGGCTGCATGGTATTAATTGGAGCGAGAGTCCACACTTGCTGTGCTGTTGTGACTCTACGACCTCGGGAGAGCAATCCAACGTGACTTTAAAGGTCATTTCAAAATAAAACATAACTTGGATTTAACAAAATGATGAAATAAAATGTATAAATATTGTACCAAAATTACACTTAAATACAACCTAATTCTTAATTGCTACATAAAAAAGGTAAACAAGAATTGCAACATTTAGAAGGTGTGTTGATTAGAATCCTTTGATGTGTAATTAGACATCTCAGGTCAATACTTCACAGCTGTGTTTGTTTTGTTGGTCATTTTGCAGTTAGGTTGGGGAATAATTACATTTTTCAGTGATGTTTGGCCCTAAAGTCTTAAATTTGGAGTTAAGTCCCCCATCCAGCATTTTTAGATAAATGTTTTGTGTCCTTTCTTTGTTATTCTTGGTTCTACTTTATGTGTAGCATTACAAGCAGGAATGATTACTGCACATTGTTTTTTTAGTGCCCGCCCTTGCTACCCTTTAATTTCATTGCCATCATAAGTTATGAACAGAAACACAAGAATGGTGCATATGGACCCAACATGAGCAAGGTTATAATAGTTTTGGATTTTTTCATTTCTTTTACTTTTGTTTTGACTTTTTCAGTATAGCTTGAATTAGTTTAGTTAAATGTTTACTTCGTAAAAATCCTTAGTTTAGTTTGTATTAGTTTTTTGGTTTTTTTTACTAAATAAGAGTCGAGACAAAGTAAACATACTATTTTGTGCAAATAAACTTCATGATGCAAGCTCATGCAAAGCAAAAATGGTTGTTCCTGGTATAAACCATAAAGCATGTGTCACTCAGTATGTTTGTGCCAAAGGCAAGGCAACTTAGTTTATATTGCACACTTCAGAAGCAACTCAGTGTGCTTTACACAGGAAACACTACACAAATACAAGGCTAAAATAGGAGTACATAATGTTTTCAATAGTTAATTTATTAACCTTGAACATTAGCCTGCAGAATTTCTTTGGCCATAGCTAAAATAACAGTGGTTTGAAACACGTAATAGGAGTAACACAACTCCATTTCATATTTCCTAGGTGGAATACACATCAGGACTTAAACTTTTAAAAAATCCACATACTTTCAAACAAATACAGTAAATTTAAAAACATTTGACTTGATTACAAATAAAGGCAATTGATACTCAAACCAGTGTTTCAGTATTAAAATCTGTGGAGTAGAGAAATTCAAAAAGGTATGAGAGAAACAGCATGGCAATAGTTCTCAGGTAACTTTGTCTTCCACTCATTGGAATAATTTTTTCCTTCATTCGGTAAACTCTTTTAAGGACATGAAGCAGGAAACATCTGTTTTCTTTTGTAATAAGAGATGACAAAATGAGAGTAGTGAGATGGAAGATGACATGTTCATAAGACCTGCTTCTGAAGGTAGCAATTAGGTTAAGGAAATTTCAAGCACCTTAAAGCAAACACAAGCTCCAAAAAAGTAAGCCCCCTAACCTTTTGGATATGGTCAAGCCCACGTCATTGACAATTGATGTGCAATGCAACTCTTCAAAGCTTACTCGCACAACTATTGATAGTATTTTAGAAAATGTTTTTGAGCCAGGGTGTCACCATGTAGACAAGTCTCAAATAGCCCTTTAAGGTTTGAAAAGGATATGAAGTACAAACTCACATGGCAGTTAGAGGTCAAAACAGATGAGACATATCACTTGTTTGTCAAACCATTTATTACAACACTTTACATGTTACACTTGAGGAGGGGGGGACGGTAGGGGATAGGGCATGTATGGAAAAGGAGGAACATCGGCATGCGAATGAAAACGTTGCCAAGTCTGTGCAGGTGCTGGAGGGGGGTCCGCTGCAGAGGGTGTGGTAGTAGGCTCCTCTGTAGTTAATGGCTCAGGTGTTAGATAGGTATGGAAACTAGGATAATCAGAAGGCATACGTGGTCCATGCTTTGTGCCCATGAGGTTTATAAGTCCGTCTAGTTCTCGTCGGTCTGGTCCGTCTTGTTCGTCTGGTACGTCTGGTATGTCTGGTACGTCTGGTACGTCTGGTCGGTTCAGCTTTGGTCGGTCTGGTCCGTCTGGTTGTCATCGGTCTGGTCCGTCTGGTATGTCTGGTACGTCTGGTTGTCATCGGTCTGGTACGTCTGGTATGTCTGGTACGTCTGGTCGGTCTGGTCCATCTGGTACGTCTGGTCGGTTCAGCTTTGGTCGGTCTGGTCAGTTCAGCTTTGGTCGGTCTGGTCCGTCTGGTATGTCTGGTACGTCTGGTACGTCTGGTCGGTCTGGTACGTCTGGTACGTCTGGTCGGTTCAGCTTTGGTCGGTCTGGTCCGTCTGGTATGTCTGGTACGTCTGGTTGTCATCGGTCTGGTACGTCTGGTATGTCTGGTATGTCTGGTACGTCTGGTACGTCTGGTCGGTTCAGCCGGTCTGGTCCGTCTGGTTGTCATCGGTCTGGTCCGTCTGGTATGTCTGGTACGTCTGGTACGTCTGGTATGTCTGGTACGTCTGGTCGGTCTGGTCCGTCTGGTCCGTCTGGTCGGTTCAGCTTTGGTCGGTCTGGTCCGTCTGGTATGTCTGGTACGTCTGGTTGTCATCGGTCTGGTACGTCTGGTATGTCTCGTACGTCTGGTCGGTCTGGTCCGTCTGGTCCGTCTGGTCGGTTCAGCTTTGGTCGGTCTGGTCCGTCTGGTCCGTCTGGTATGTCTGGTACGTCTGGTCGGTCTGGTCCGTCTGGTACGTCTGGTCGGTTCAGCTTTGGTCGGTCTGGTCCGTCTGGTCCGTCTGGTTGTCATCGGTCTGGTCCGTCTGGTATGTCTGGTACGTCTGGTTGTCATCGGTCTGGTACGTCTGGTATGTCTGGTCGGTCTGGTCCGTCTGGTCCGTCCAGCTTTGGTCGGTCTGGTCCGTCTGGTACGTCTGGTACGTCTGGTCGGTTCAGCTTTGGTCGGTCTGGTCCGTCTGGTCCGTCTGGTACGTCTGGTCCATCTGGTATGTCTGGTACGTCTGGTTGTCATCGGTCTGGTACGTCTGGTATGTCTGGTATGTCTGGTACGTCTGGTCGGTCTGGTCCGTCTGGTACGTCTGGTCGGTTCAGCTTTGGTCGGTCTGGTCCGTCTGGTACGTCTGGTACGTCTGGTCGGTTCAGCTTTGGGCGGTCTGGTACGTCTGGTCGGTTCAGCTTTGGGCGGTCTGGTCCGTCTGGTTGTCATCGGTCTGGTCCGTCTGGTACGTCTGGTTGTCATCGGTCTGGTATGTCTGGTATGTCTGGTATGTCTGGTACGTCTGGTACGTCTGGTCGGTTCAGCTTTGGTCGGTCTGGTCCGTCTGGTCCGTCTGGTTCTCGTCGGTCTGGTACGTCTGGTCCTCGTCGGTCTGGTCCGTCTGGTACGTCTGGTCCTCGTCGGTCTGGTCCGTCTGGTTCTCGTCGGTCTGGTACGTCTGGTTCTCGTCGGTCTGGTCCGTCTGGTTCTCGTCGGTCTGGTCCGTCTGGTCCGTCTAGTTCTCGTCGGTCTGGTACGTCTGGTCCTCGTCGGTCTGGTACGTCTGGTCCTCGTCGGTTCAGCTTTGGTCGGTCTGGTCCGTCTGGTTCTAGTCAGATAAGTTCTGGTCGGTCTAGTTCTAGTCAGGTAAGTTCTGGTCGGTCTAGTCAGTTTTGTTCTGGTTGGTTTAGTCCGTTTAGTTTTAGTCGGTTCAGCTTTGGTCTGTATAGTTTTAGTACTAGGACAAGGAAACGTCGGGGATGGAGTTGCGGTGACTGGCAGAGGGTAAAAGGGACACAAGAGGGTGACTGGAACTCCTTGCCAGTGCATTATGAGCTTATAATTCCCATCCTTCAGAGGAGAAAAAAAAAAATTTCAAAATGTTAAGCAAACCACTCAGTTACACTGGGACTGGAATTAGATTAACAGAATTACAGTCAACTGAGCTTCAAAAACTAAAAACACCCAAGAATAGCCCTTTACCACTTCATAATCGAAGTTTAGCAGGTGGCTATAGAGACCCCAATCAGGTTCTTAGAACATGCTTTTTTTGAAGATAAATTAATGAAAATAGTTGAACATGTTATGAAAACAGCTTTTTTCCCCCAGCGGTATCATTTTCCCACCATACACAATAAAAAAAAAATTACCTCTTGAACCATGTTGCAGCCATCATAGGGGACCAACATTACAAGTGCAAGAGGGTTGCTTTGCATTGTGTAGCCACAGGTTGGTGGGATTTGGGACAGAGGCATCAGCTGTGAGTCTTCAAGTTGGACAAATTCTCAGTCAGAGTGCAATCAAGATATAGGCTACACTTTAATAATAGCACAGCGGTAGTGAAATCCTTTAGAAGTTACCTCGGTCCATTGTAAACTGTGAAGCACCTTCGCCCACTGCTCTGAACTTCATTCGGTCCCCACCACACTGCAGGGAGGATGTCATAAGCTTCCATGATGATTCTCCGCCACCGGAATCATATGCATGGCCTTTAGGCCAGCCTGATTGAACTAATTAAATAACCATGTGATTTTTTCAAGAGTCACCATAAAGAGAGTCGAACAATTTAATATCATAGAAGACTTTAAAAAAAATATATATATATATATTTACCTGGAGAGTCCCCTTGATAAGCAGCTTCATCTTCAGTAGAAACATTTGAGAAGGTCTTCTTGGTTCCATCTATGACCCGAGACTCGAGGCCAGACACTTTCTCAAGGCCTCTCCCGAAAATAATTCTTCCCTCCTGGACAGCTGCTGTTCTGGCTGCATGAGGGTCGTTTCGTCCTTCACTTCTTTCTGTTCCCTTCAATCGGTAACAGTCAATGGTTTGCGCCAAATAACATGTAAAAATAACAGCTGCAGCCAAGTACACCGCGCCACTTCTCCGTTTTCCTTTTCGCATCATTCTGTTGTGACTCCTGGAAATGGTAAGAACTGGAGATCAACTCTTTGCTGCAGCTATTTGAAGTGCAACAATTAGTGTTAGCAGGTTCTGCAACAACCAATCAGAAGAAGCAGGGCGGGCTAGATTGATTGCTTTTTAATTATGCCGAATCGGTTCCACCTGTGTAGTGTAGCTCTTTCAGAGGAAGTCAGTATTGCTTTTACCAGGAAGTTATACGATAACCCAGTTTCATGAATTCATATAGGTCCTGCAATTAGCTTTGACACACAAATGCAGAGAAACTGAAAGAAAAATTAAGCATGAGTGGGAACAACTTAAAGTTATTTTTCTACATTGTTGCGCAGTATGGTAGGACACAGAACCTTACAAAAAGGTTAAGAAATCCAGTTGAAAGATTCAAACTACATCATAAAATCACTAGCAAGGCTTACCTTTGGAGTTATTATGGCTGAGAATTTTGCTATTCAAATGGAGGATTGTCTTGGCCTGTGGTGTGAGGAAACCAGGGCCCAGGCTGCCAGTGGTTGAAGCCTGGATGTAGGTGTGACCGAGGCTGGAGTCCAGATTTGTAGCCAGTTTGGGGCATTAATTTCTGGTCAACTGGGTGTTTACCTGCCTTACTAGATTTGTACGAAACGTAAAGGGGCCTGGAAGTAAGGCAAAAATGGACTCAATGGACCTGGATATTTGCTGGGCTTTGTCGTTTGAGCAGTTGAAGGGGAAGATGCAGTTGTTTGCTTAATGGTTGGCTTTATTGTAGGATCAGGGCCACTTGGTTTAGAAGTGGGAGTGTTCATGCCCGGCTTAGTGGTTGTTGTAGGGTTACCGGGCTTGGCAGTTGTGGGGGTTGGAGGTTTAGTAGTTGACATGCCTGGGGTTTTCCATAAAAGGGCTGGACAAGAGGGTAGTAGTAGACATTAGAATTTTCTTACACTTGGTGTAACCAGTCTTAACACTATGCAGTGACTGATTCCAATAACATCGCCGTAGTCAACATGTGGATTCACATGGCCAAATACACTCCACCCAAGGTCTATTAGCTGGGCATAAGGCTCGATACTTTTGGCACATGTTGCAAACACTACTGTTGCAGCTCTTTGATTGGTGAACTGACTTGAGGCAACCAAAGCAGATCTTTTCAGCTTGTATGAATCTGATTCTGTCTGACACTGATTTCTCCATGAACTTCCTGAATTTGTGCAAATCATGACCATTCTTCTTACAGAATATGCATGTTATACATATCTTTTCATTAAAACTTGTGGCCAGTGTCTTCGCTCCAAAAAGTGTCTATTTTTGTAATTTTGGCTTTTCAGCTTCACCTTGTCTCTGTGACTGCAATGATGTGACTGGGTTGCACGCAACTTTTGCTTCAATTGTCAGAAACTTCACAAATTGGCTGAATGAGGGGAACTGGGTTCTCTCCTCTTCTTCTTCAATAACCTTTCTGTTCGAACTTACTGTTAGCCAATCTGGTAACTTTGAAATATTTTTTCTGTTTTCGTTACAGTCGTTCAAGATTTCCAATGCCTTTATGTCAATCATAACAGCTTTGCAAATTCTGAGAAAATCCACAAACTCTCTAAGCTCAAAACTGTCTTTAGGTCCTATCTTGGGCTTGAAGTTTGTCTCCATACGATTTTGCAATTGTAAATGGATTTCCAAATCTTTCTTCCAAAAGCAGCAGCATAGGAAGATTCAGTCCCAAGTAGGAAATAGCCATCAAGTGCATTCTTAGCTTGTTCACTTACATATATATATTCTTTGTCTTTAATGTTCTTCTGGTCAATCAGTGTTTCAAAGGAGAGTTACCAGTCTTTGTATTTCATTAGATGCACACCGAATACTGCAGGATCACGAACTGGAATTCTGTTGTCACTTAAAGCTTCTGCATGCACCTTGACGAGTTCTGGAAACATTTGTAGGGGCAGAGGTCTTGCGGGAGTTGGCACTTGGTTGTCTGCTCCTGCCTCATACTCTACAATGTCTGTCAGGTCTTCTTCAGTGGCCTTGACTTGATCATACTCCTGCATTTTTGCTCTTGCTGAATTGAGACCTTTTACTGCTTCCAAGTGCTGTATTCTTCTTTTCTTTTTCTCGAGTCTTCTGTAGAGCTGTAAACTCATCTTCCAGTTGAGCTCTAATTCTAGCTTCTTCTTCCTCTCTCTTTAATCTTTGTTTCAGCTCTTCTGCTTCTTGCTCTTGATGTAGATTTCCTTGTTGTTGATATGTTTGATGATGAAGAAATTCGCCTAAACATGTTTCTGACTTTGTCTCATAACCTTCTGGTTGCTCTATATAGATTTCACAGTCAATTGGTGCATGTAAATAGGCTGTCTTGACATCCATCTGGTGCAAGACTAGGTTCTCCTGCATTGCCTTTTGCATAACCACTCTCACACTTGCCATATCAGCTGTGGGTGAGAATGTTTCGTCGTAGTCAGTTCCTTGTTTTTGACTGTAGCCTTTTGCTACGAATCTCGCCTTGTATTTATCTGATCCGTCAATGTCAGTCTTAAGTGCATAGACCCATCTGCCCCCCGCTGCCTGTTTACCTGGTGGCAATTGGGTGAGGCTGAAGGTCTCGTTCTCCTCCAGAGATCGCATTTCCTCATTCATGGCATTTTTCCACTGCCCTGACTTTGTTGACGCTATGGCGTCCTGGTAGGTTTGAGGAATGACGCATACTGCTCTATAACAAGAGTCCACGCATGTTTGCAATTTGTCCATTGTATCCTCAGTCTCGAATTCCTGTAGGTGGACTGGTCTCCTTCTGGTTCTCTGTGGGTTCCTTCTTAATACAGTCTCTGTGAGTTTACCTGGCTGTGTGCGTTCAGTCTTTTCAGGTGAAATCTCAGCAACATCACTTTGAATGCTATGATCTGGTACATTTTCCGCATTTTCATCAACAACATTTTCTTCGTTGTCATTGACCCTGTGTACCATCTTATTACCACCCATGTATGACTCAGATATTTGGGTTTCTTTTTCGTTGGCTGTCTTGGTTGTGAATTTCACCAACCTGTGCTTTTGGATCCTCTCTGTATCTGGATAATACACTAGGTAAGCTGGGCTTTTTTTATCATAGCCTACAAAAATACTTTGCTTGCACCTAGAGTCTAGTTCCCCTTTTTCTTGTTTGTAAGCAAAACACACTGATCCAAATTTTTGTAATTTTGATATGTTTGGTTCTGTGTCTGTAAACAGCTCGTATGGTGTTTCTTTGTACAGTCGTCTGTAAAAGATTGTGCATATCTGTGCCCTTCTATGCTCTGTGTTTGCATGGGACCAGCTAAGTCAGTGTGGACTAGTTGTAATGGTTTCTTAGCTTTTCCATCTAGCTCCCTATTCCTAGTCTGGGTGAATTTTCCCTGTGTGCACACTTCACATAACTGATCTGGTCTGACTGCACTTCCTTTTATCTCCATGCCTTTCACTACACCTTGTAATTTTTGTACATCTTCGTAGTTACAATGACCCAAAACTTCGTTTTCACATCATAACACCCTTTACATTGGTCAACATTCTCCTCAACAGTTGGCAAGTAATACAAATTTCCATTGACATCTTGTGGATGTCAAACCTGCCACCATCATTGGTAACCATGCAGCTGTCCCCTTTCTTGAAGGTGATTGTTGCTCCTCCGTTTGTTGCTTTTGCCACTGAAAAGATGTCATGTGGGTATGAAGGCATGTACAGTGCATCCCGTAGCTGTGCTCTGTGCTGTTGTCCAGCGTTGTCTAATAGGTATATCATCGCCATTCCTCTCCGTTGTGCTATTCCATTGCACTTGGTCCCGTCGGCTAACTCTACTGAATGGGTCTCCGGCTGGAATGAGTCATCAAAGCTTTTAAACTTTCCAATATCATTCACGATGTGGGATGTTGCTCCTCCATCCACCATGATGCCTTTCATTTTCACATTGTCAGGGGGTTTCTCTTTCTTCATGTGTTTGGCCTTGAAGAGATAGTCTCTGTCTTTATTTTATTCCTCTGCAACTTTTCTGAAGTTGTCTTGTTGACCCTTTTTCTTGCATACGGAATCATGGTGTGTATTACTCTTGCAATAACTGCACCATACTTTTCGAAAACGTTTTCTTGACTTGTGCCCTTTAATTCCACACTTGTAGCAAGTCACATTGGCAACTTCATCTTTTCTGTTGTTAGTGTGCGTCTTGTTGGGGCCACTGCTTTGTCTTACATATGTCTTCAACACATTATTTGTAGATCCTGCCGTGTTCGTTTTCTCCGCCTCTTCATAAACACGTAGTCTTCTTTGAAAGTCTGTAAATGTAACGTTATTTTCGTTTTGCATTACGTGTATGGCTAGCGGCTTGAAGGAGTCTGGTAACCCGCCTAGTATCATGGCTATGGTTAGTCCATCACTCATGGTCTCACCTGCATCTCTTAGAGTCGTAATGGTGTTATCCGCTCTTATTAGGTAGTCGGTAACATTCTCGTTGTCTGCCATGTGTAGCTTGGTCAACGACGTGTATAAATTTATTATCCGTGGTTTACTTTTCCCGGAATAATATTCTCTCAGTATTTTCAGGGCTTTCCTTCCATCATCAGCGGCATCATGTCTTATCAACGATAGGCTTTTATCATCTATCAGTCTTATCAGCTCAGCATAGCAATCGGCATTCTTCGTTGCATCTGCGGCTAGCTCTTCTTGACTATTGCCGATGGGCTCATGTAAAAAAAGGGACACAAGAGGGTGACTGGAACTCCTTGCCAGTGCATTATGAGCTTATAATTCCCATCCTTCAGAGGAGAAAAAAAAAAATTTCAAAATGTTAAGCAAACCACTCAGTTACACTGGGACTGGAATTAGATTAACAGAATTACAGTCAACTGAGCTTCAAAAACTAAAAACACCCAAGAATAGCCCTTTACCACTTCATAATCGAAGTTTAGCAGGTGGCTATAGAGACCCCAATCAGGTTCTTAGAACATGCTTTTTTTGAAGATAAATTAATGAAAATAGTTGAACATGTTATGAAAACAGCTTTTTTCCCCCAGCGGTATCATTTTCCCACCAT